CCGCACAACTGCAGGCCTGAGGCAGTCAGATCACTACACTCCTGAGCAATTTCCTCCAGGGCAGGTGAGAGACCCAGGTGAGTTCCAATGGAGTGACTCCTGGAGTTTTACAGAATCTCCTGCATAAGACTTTCTGTCTTCCCTTCTGGTCTTGAACTTGAGAAGGTGGGAGGCTGAGACTGAAGCCAGGCAGCAAGCAACCCCCAAAATGGAGAGAAAAACATCTGTTTGTGTGCTGAATCCAGCAGTGCCCAAAGCCACCCCCATCAGGGAATTATTAGTCATGTCGGCTATATTCGTTTGCTAGAGGCTGTTGCAACAAATTGCAGGAACTGGGTGACTTAAAACAACAGAAATTAATTCTCTGATAGTCATGGAGGTTAGGAGTCTAAAAACCAAGGCGTTGGTAGCTCCCTAATAAGGCTTTAGGGGAAGATACTTCCTTCCCTCTTCCTAGTTCCCGGTAGCTGCCAGCAATCCATGGCTGGGCCCTTGGCTTGGGGCAACGTAACTCCAATCTCTGCTTCTGGCATCACATGGCCTTCCTTCCTCTGTGTCTTCACGTTGTCTTCCCTTTGTGCATCTCTGCACCCAAATTTCCCTCTTCTCTTAAGGACACTGGTCATTGGATTAGAAGCCCATTCAAGTGACCTCATCTTAACCTGATTACATCTGCAAAGATCCAGTTTCCAAACTGGGTCTCAATCACAGGTCTGGGGGTGTTTGGGACTTGAATGTATTTTGGGGAGGACACAACTCAACCCACAATATCAGTCAATAACTTCCCTCTGAGCTGAACCTCCTTGGTTTGGGTTTGTGACCATTTGCACCAAGAAAGAAATAGAGCCAAGACTTCCCCTCCAATCTCAGTCAACAAATGAGACCCAAAGCTGCGCCCTTAACCGCAGGGTCAGACTGCAAGCTTGTTCAGCCTCTCTCCCAAGTGTCAGCCGCTCTACCTTGGGCAGAGGCCCAGGGTGAACCATCTTCTATATCTGCCTCACAGCCACTGCATACAACATGCTCAAGGAATATAGGATTGATTGCTATCTAATTAATTAACCAAAATTCAAATAGTGAAATTGAATTGGGCATGGTTTATCACAGGGCAGCAGGCTAAGAGATGACCAGGACTTTTATCTTAGAAATAAAGTTATTGACTGTCTGCACGACTGCATTTCAAGATTTCCCCCTGATTTGAAAAGATCACCTCAGGTGGTGAAGAGGAACACACTTCCCCCTCCTCAGACGGTTAATTTCCAGAAGAGAACACCAGCCACGCTTCTTTCACATGTGTGGCCGTGTTTACTTCAGGGCCTGAGAGACGGCTGTGATTTCACCTTGTTACACTAAAACTCTGAAAACAAAACTGATCTCTATAACATCATTTCCATAAAAAATGTTTCCTGGAGGCCAGCCGAGGAAGCAAACTGATTGAAAGAGAGCACAGGGCTCTGGGCAGGAAGGGCGATGGCGTGCGGACACGAGGCGGGAGGCAGAACCCAGGACTTCTGCAGAAATAGGCATGAGCTGTCAGAAGCCCATCTGACCCAGGTCAGATGTCTGGTGATGCCTTCCCCAGCTCCTTCCGTCGGCTTCCAAAATCACTTTCAAAGACCACTAGCCACTGACCATACTCTTCCTTGAATCCTACTTTCCTGAGCCCCAGATGATTTCTCCACACCAGACCCGGTCCACACCCAGGGAAGCCAGGTCAGCGGAACTTGAGTAGGTAGGGGAATTACTTGGGGAGCCCCGCTGGTGAGAAAAGCAGATTTGGGGGCCACACCCCTAAGCACTTTCATGCAGATAAGGTCATTAGTTTCCTGTGGTTGCCATAACAAATCGCTACAAACTGGGTGGCTTAAAACATAGAAATTTATCCTCTCACAGTTGTGGAGGCTAGAAGTCCAAGAGCACACTGTCGGCAGGATTGGTTCCTTCTGGAGGCTATGAGGCAGAATCTATTCCAAGCCTCACCCCGTTTCTGATGGCTGCCGGCCACCTTTGGCATCCCTTGGCTGTCGCTGCCTAACTCCAATGTCTGTCTCTGTCTTCATATGGACCTCCTCTCTGTGCATCCCCGCTTTCCCATAGCCTCCTCCCTTGTATCTCTGTGTCTCAAATCTATCTTTGCTTTCTCTTATAAGAACACAAGTCATTAGATTTAGGGCCCCTCCTAAATCCAGGATCATTTAAAGATCCTTAGCTTGATTATACATACAAAGAGCCTGTTTCCAAATAAGGTCTTATTTCCAAATAAGTTACTGGGATGTTAGGACTTAGATGTTTCCATGGGGGAAAGAACATGATTCAATCCACTACAGTAGATTTGGGGAGGGACCCAGAAATTTGCATTTTTCCCCAAAATTCCAAGTGACTCACTGTATTTTTTGCTCACAAAATGACTCTGATGTAGGTGATCTGTACATCATATTCTAGAAACACTGATCCCATCCCGTTGCTGAGGATTTAAAGAAGAATAAGACGTAGCTCCCTCCCTTGGGGAACCTGCTGCCTAGGGGAAGACACAGATGAACCGGAGATTAAAATATAAAGCGTGGCCTAGGGAACCGAGCCCTGGAGTCAAGGCGGACCAGGGTTCAGATTCTGCCCCCTCCAGCTGTGAGACTCTGGGCAAGTTCCTTTGCTGGTCTGAGCCAGTTTTCTCCTCTGTAAAATATGAAATAACTCCTACCTTATACCATTATGAGAACGAGGCCATGAGAAATGCTGAACATCAGGGATGGACTCAAGAGATGGCCATAAGCTATTGTGAAGGCAGGAAGCATGCTGTGTTCATTTTCACATCCCCACAGCATCCTAAGCTTTAATGAATTATCTGAAGGCAAGAAGGCATTACTCTGGAGAAACGCAGCTGGGGTAGACAAGACAACTCCTAAAAGACCCATTTCCAGAACTTGACTTATTCTAGAAGTATTTTCTGAGCAGCTGCTGTATATGGAGCTCCGTGAATGGGCACTTGGAACAAAGAGCCAAATAAAAACTCCCAGCCTAGTGGGGAGACCATGAGGCCACAATTCCACGTGGTCAGTGCAAGGCAGAGATGTGCTTGCTCCAGGGACAGCCATGCAAGTGAGCACTGCCTTCTTTGGTTTCTCATCCTTCACATCCACCCTTTAGTATACTCTTAGTGTTTACTGTGTGACTCTCCTCCCAAACCATACCATGTGCTTCAGGGGTTCTATGATGGCAGAAAGGGCTGTCTGTCTTCTTGGCCACTACATCCCAAATACCTAGCGATGTATCTGAATCCTAATAGGCATTCAGCAAGTGTTTGTTGGAGTAGTAAACATTCTGCTATTTCAGAGCCCAGCACTGGACTTCTATGAAGAATCGCCTCCAGCTTCCTTGACTACTGGGAATGATTCTTGATGGGCCAAGAAGAAAGATCCCCGAGGATCTTTCCTTTGCCATAAAGCCTGACAGAGGAGATGGGGACAATGTACCCTAGTACTGTATAGTTATTTTGTACAGACCGAGAGTGAATACACGAAACTTGGGGAGAAGCTATGACAGTACATTCCTCTTCAGAAATACAATGCTTTGCACACAGTGAACATTAAATAGTTATCAGACTGACCTGGAGACCCAAAAAAAATGATTAAAGGAGAAAGACAGTAGGTTTCACTTCCAACACCCAACATGGGAAGGAAGAGAAAATCACTACATCCTGCACTGTGTGCAAAGGACAGTGAAAAAGAAGACCCAAGGTGGCCTTGGGGATGGGGGTGTCCGGGGGAATAGTCAGCGTGTCTGGGTAACATGGCTGAGTGCCGTCAGGAACGGTGGGACATCAGGACAAGCAACTTAACGCGAGAGAAAGGCATCAGCACCCCCTCTCACCTGGAGAAGTCGCAGCCCCTCCCAGGCCAAAACACCCTTAAGGTGACTGAAGAGGGAACGGCGTGGGAGTCGGACCCCAGGGGTATTTATGACAAAATAGTTTGGGGGTGTGGTATTCTCTGCTTTCACAAGTCGAATGACTTTTGCACCAGCGTTGTGTTGACTGAATTGAATGAGTGAATGAACAAAGCCTTTGGAGGACCCCGAACTGCTCCCGCCCCAACCTCCGCTGCAGGCGATTCCACCTGGCCCGGGTGCTGCCTCGGGACCCGGATTTCCCCCTGGCACCACCTTTCCGCTTCAGCCGCGGGCGACCAATCGCTTGGCTCCAGAACAGTGGTAACCGAGAAGGCAGGTGGGGCTTGGCTCCTACTCCCGGATCCCCGCGCTTCTCTCTCCAATCCAGGGCCAAACCCTGCCCGGAGGGAAGGCCCCTCCCCAAAGGCTGGCACCGGCTGGCGTGGAAGAAAGTGGCGCCCGCCGACCGGAAAG